GTGTGTGTGTGTGTGTGTGAGAGAGAGAGAGAGAGAGAGAGGTGTCAGAGCTGCCATCTGGGCCAAGCTTTTTCACACTTCTCCCACTGCTCAAAGAAAATGAGGGGCCACAAAAACCTGGGACCTTCTGCCACAGGGGGAGGAGCAGTGTGTAGCAGAGGACACATCATGGGCTCACTGGCCTGGTGGTGGGAGGCCTGGGCCTGGCCCTGGCCCTGACTGCCCATAGGATCTTTGGTAGATCAGAGTTACTCCCACTAAGCTCACAAACCCAAGGGTCCCCCACCCATCCTCATCCTCAAAGAGCACAAAGCAATACAACCTACCACATGCTGCTAAACACCAACCTGGGCACTGCAGGTTTGGAGTTTTCTTGGAGGTGTTTCCATCTCTCACTCACTTGGTGGAGGCTAAGCTTTTGAGATCTGGGAAAGCAGACCCACCACCCCCTGCAGGCCTGCAGAAGTGGGACAAGAGGAGGACGCAATACCACTTCTGCACTTTCAGAGCCCGAGAGACTTGCAGTCAAGGAAATGTTTCTGAGGTCATTGTTCAATGAGCATGAAGTAAGCATCCCGGAAATAGTCTGCTTGGAGGGGACGAACTGCAGTGGAATGGGAACATTGTGGAACAAGACCAGGTTCAAAGGCAATTTCAGAGGCTGTCCATTAGGATTTGGATGGAGCAGGGAAGAGAAGGCAGGAGCCTTTGAATAAATGGAAACTGCCTCCACTCGACCCACAACTCCCACTTGGTTATGCTTACACATGAATGAGGTAGGAATTACTGTGATTGTGACGGATGGTTTACAACTTGCCAAGCACTGTTTCAGGTGCTCTGTGTGTATCATATCATGCGACACTCTCAATAAACTTTAGGTTGATGCACCTTGTTTTGCAGACTAAGAAACTGAGGCCCAGAGAATGAAGCAACAGTTAAAAGAGCGAAGCACTTAACAAACTTCAAGTCCGTAGGTGCCTTTTCTCCGGCTGTCAGTAAGTGCAGAGGCAACTATGATGCCCTAGGGTGTTAACTGTTGTTTGCACTTAACACATTTACTTCCCCCCTTCTTTCTTTCTTATTTTTATTAACTCTGTTGCTTTTACAGCCAGCGTGTTAAGCTTCCTCAAACCCTGTTGGAATAGAAAGGGCACATCTAGGAGAGCTGACTCCAAGATTGTCCCCAGTTTCTCCAGCACAAGAAGAGGCAGGAAGTCAGGGGC